TATTCTTGAGTAAAGGGCAACAATGGAGCGTCAGAGGAGCTATCTTAGCTGTATGGGCATTAACTCTAAGCCTCCCGTTATCAAACCAGCAGGAGAAGCTAACACCCAGCTGCTCGGAATTCAGCTCTGTATGTTAATGTAGTGATAAAAAAAACACCATCATGGAGCATATGTAAACCATCCCCTCCATTTTAACACCACAGCAAATTGTACTTTCTCCCTTTTCATCTGCATTACTTAACCTTAATAAGATCAAGTGTAATTCTAACAAATGGCAGCAACCGGCTCTGAGATGCGTGACGATCCACCCTGAGGTCACTGTGACATGGACCGTCTCTATTTGCCAACTTTGTGCAAGTGTATTTTGATGCAGTTGCTCAAAGAGTATTTAATTCCTTTATGAAGTATAAAAAATGCTACACTCAAAGTATGCCATATAAACTGTAGTTACATCATTTTTTTACATAGTAAAAGTAAAATATTTTCTTGGTAAAGTTGCACAAATCCCTTGAAGGTGAACTGAAGTGAAGCTTTATAGTAGCTACTTTCCAAAGCAGGTTGACTGTTTGAAATGTCACATTAAGTTAATTAAAATCGTACAGGCTGATCCACAACAGTATTGTGAATTTCCTCATATGTATGTATTATTTGCATAAAAATAAAAATGCTGTAATATGATTTTAATTATACTTCTGTGGACATTCTATGACCACATTAAAATAAATTGAAAAAAGGCCATTTGTCATTTCATTTTTAAAGAGTTAACCTGCTTTACTGTTGACAATATTCAAATGCAATTACCTCCCAGTCAACTGCATTTACATTAAGATGTTATCACACTCTCTGACTGAAATTGCACATCTGGGAGAACCTTCCTGTTTCGTCTTACTTTTCTCTGGTACTCCATGAAAATAAAACATGCAAATACACTATAAATAAATAACAATTGTACACTTGTAAAGTTTGGCATTTATTTTCAAGCACGGCCCAGTTCCTCATTAAACTGCATATTCTTTTCTATAAACTCTTTTACAAGTGAATTTTAAGAAAGGCACTTCTTTATATCAAAGATACATTCACTTATTGCCAGTACCTTCCCCGTAAGCAGGGAATGTTCCCACAACATTGATTAACATCACCTCCAAGTTCTGATATTTAAAAGAAAGTATTTTAATTGAATGTTTAAGAAATATTTTAAGGACATTTATCACTTCTAATAAACTTCCTATGAGGTTAAAATCGGCATTCAGAAAATGATTTCAAGATGTTATGAAGATCTCACAAGACCGAATGTATTTTTTATCAAATGAAGTGTGACGATGGCAGAACCATCTGCATGCAATATTTTGAGAATGTTCTTGGAATGGGATTATTATTGATGCATTATAGATCATAGATTATGATGGTACACTATAGAACATTCTTCCATAAAACATTGTTGTATTGTTTTGTGAGGTCATTCGGTGCTTTAGTGCCCTCCGACCCTGTGCTAATGTGCTCTTTCTTGGTTTTTTAGAACTTTTAAAAATAAAAAAACTTCCTGCTAAAAATATTAATACAACATTGCATAAATTTCCCTGAATGTTTTTAGAAAAAGAAAAACTGTTCTAGCCTCTACATGCACTTTTACATTAGTGGACAGAGATCAACGGCGTAGTACATCTTCTTAACTATTTGGGTGCAATGGACACAAAGTTGGGAACGTCTGTTACACACACAGTTTCTCATTTGTTTACTCTCCTGTCCCTTTATGGCTCATCCTCTACCCTCTGACCCTGTGGGACAGAGGGTCTGTGTTTAGGAGGAAAGCACCAGCCACATAACACAATCACTGAAACACACACACACAAACCATTGAAGGGGACAGCAGGAGTGCGGAGGTGGGCAGGAAATGGCGTGTACCCCCTCCTGTTGGCCATATCCTGTCCTTGGGTAAAACTGGCTTATTTGCACAACGATCTGAGCTCTTTGTACGCATTCATCACCTCGTTGCATGCAAGCAGACACGTTTGGAAAGGTCCTAATGTTAAAGAAGGAGTCGACAGTGTTGTCCTGTTGTAACGAAAAAAAATAAAAAAAATTCTGGACTCATCACTGGGAGAAGAGAGATGTGCATGTGTTCTGCACATGGATTGTCTGTTTGCATGAAACCATCCAGAATTATTCAAAACCCTCACTAGAAAAGCATCCGCAGTGAGCATATCTCACTGCCCTCACAGCACATGTCATTGATCAAGTCTGCGTTGCAACATGTGGCATTCCTCAGTAAATTCTACTCCCTACTGATTTGATTAATGGCCCACAAACAGAAACACTCATTCTTCTGCAGACACCCACCAAGCCACCCACTCCCCTCCTCCTCCAATGTCCAGTCTCTTCTCCCTTGTTGCTTTCCCCCTCCCATTATTATATCTTATCCCTAGTTCGCCCTTTCCTGCAAACTTCATGCCATTCGTTTCCTCGTCCGACAGGCTCCCTTATTTTCTACGAGAGCAGAGTAGAGGCTGGGGGCCTTTAAAAGTGTAAATGATGGGGTTTTTTTTATGTCTTTTTAAGGATAAAGGTAGATGAGAGTCCACTGGGACAGCTCCAGCAAAGGAGGCTTGGCACTGAGGCTTTGGGCAGTGACATTGTGTAAGAGCTCTGAAGCTTGTAAGAAGGTTTGAAACTTTAACCCAGTGACTTAGCCCTCCTGGCTGGAATCTGATCCTCCAGTGAATCAGTCCTGTAAACTCTGCCAGTTCTGATTTCAGCAAATACTCTCTCCTCCTCAGTGTGGACCACTGTGAAGCCCGGCAGAGAGACAGCTCCCCTTCACAGGGACACACAAACACGCACATGCATCCATGTACACACAAACAGCTGTAGCCGCACCCAGATGCTTTATATCAGCACTTTTTGGACGGGCTGTGTTTGTACAAGACTGACAGGCCACTTCCTGTGTCCTAAACATTACCGCAAACACATGCACTGAAAGCAGAGCAGCAAAGGGGTAAAACCGCCATTTCAGCTTGCAAAAATGTTTGTCCCACATGTTGGAAAAAAGTTTGATTCATTGTGAATATGCACTGCTGCTTCCTATTGCTCTAAGGCAGAGATTACGCAGTCTTGCAGTTGGTTCTGTTCGACACATGTGAAGCCTCCCTTATGATTCTACGCTGGATGATTGTTTACAAAGAGCCACATATTTTTCTGTTTCCAAGATGACGCCATTCTACAAAATAAAACTCATCAGACTGCAAATTGTCAAACATTAGCTTATGCATACACAAAACCAAGGAAGTTTTTCATCAGACAGTCTCCAGGCTTTAAATTCACTTGGGTATCTGCAAGAAACGGGAAAAAACAAAAAAGAAAGAAAGAAAGAAAAATAACTATTTAACTGTCATTGTTTTCATTTATTAGAGCAAAGTAAAAACACTTAGACATTCTTTCCATGAGAATAACAGTAAGAAATTTAAATGAGTGGCAGTCCCCTTTTCTTCGTAATTAGGTCAGCATAACATTATTTCCTGTTACAGGAAAATCAAATTATTACCTTGATTTAAGCTGCACGAAGAGCAGACAGAGCAGCCCACTCTCTGTTAGACAACGGTATTGGATGTCTGTCACTAATGGCTCAGGAATGTCAAATTAGTCAGGGGCCGCATGCGTGACACTGTGAACATTAAAATACTTTGAGGAGACCAATATGATATTACACACACAACAACACACATTGAAAAAGAGAGGTGACAGGTCCAGTGATCTCATTGCCTCAAAGCTATAGAGTGATAGGCTGCCTCCTACACACTGCAAACCAGAAAAATGTCCCCCTAGCGAGATGTCAGAGTTTTAAATTTCAAAACGGCCGAAAAGTATAAGAAATGACAGTCTATTTAGCAGCACGGTTTGATATGAATTTGTGGAGGTGGACTTTGAATATCCTAAGGTGAAACGGAATATCATCCACCTCTATAGCATTATCTGACATATCGTCTCTACCCTTCACCTCCATCCACACCAAAACATGTCACCGTCGGCAGTTCAGGCGGAGTTCAGTCCCCTGTGGCCCGTTTCTCTGCCTCTCTGACTCACCGCCTGTGTAGGTGTGCAGCAGCTAAATGACTCTCACCTCTTGCTAAACAAGAGCCCAGAAAGGCAGGCAGACAAATGAAAAATCCCCCTCGATCAAAGCAAACCTCTTTATTCAGTAGGTGTGTGCACGAATGTGTGTGCACATGTGTGGAGTCTGCCGGGTCCTGTTTACATTGGGCAAGCTAAGTCATGCAATCTGATCTCGGGCTTTTTGAGTGCCTCCTCAAGCCCCCCTCACACACACACACACACACGTGCATGCATCCACCTCTCAACACTGAGAGCTATTGGAGGAAACACTTTGTTACCTCACTAAGACATGCTGGCGTCAGTGTGTGTGGGTCAGGAGGGCAGCGGGGATTGAAGACACATTGCTGCCATATGCGCACCCTGAATGTTCAACCTCAGCTGGACCTAGAAGTACAGACTTCCTTTAAAAGTTCCTACAAGGTAACCAGAGTTGAGCCATTACTGAGCAGATGGCACTGAGCGGATGTGTGTTGATCCTGAGGTTCTGTTATATTTGTTGGTTTTGAGCCAAGTTTCCTGTTTCCATCTGTGGCCACACCTCCAGCAGGAAGTGGGTCAGTGGGATTCTTACGCTCTGCTAATTTCACACCGACTTTCTTCTGCAAACTTGCCCAACGTAGCCCTTTCTTGCTCAGCATTTCCCTCCTGTTCATTTCATTTGCTTGTCTGCCCCTTCGCTCTCTTTGGCTCTCCATGTGTGTGCACTGGCAGGTGTGTGCAGGTGTTCCCTCCATCACTCAGCATCCCACAAACCTATCCCTGCTCCCCCCTCAGCACACACTAACCCAAAAAATAATGCACAGCTCTGTCTTCCCACTCAAAAACTGTCATGTGCGTCAACTCAACACAACACCTGTTAACATTAGAGCACACAGAAACAGGCACGCTTTATATATATTTTTTTAAACAATGTTTTTATTTACACGTGGCAGAAGAAAAATGCACATCCATAAAAGGCACAGAATCACCATTTGAAAGGCATGTTTAACAAAATGTTTCATAAAAATGGTAGGTCAAAAACATTTTTCAAAAGAACATCTCATTTATATACTGTACAGATGACATTATTGGTGAAGGCAAGTTGTGTTTTTTTTGGTCAAGCTCAAGTGGTCATTTCTCGTCCAGTAATACACATCGACTGCCGAAAGCGTTCGTGGCATGAAGGGGGCGAAAGGGCCGGAGGAGGGGGGTGTCACCTGTCGTCGAGGTCACAGCTAACACATCTCTCAGCGCCCTGCCTCCACAGTGCACCGTACACAGACAGCTGTCTCAACACTCACACTTGCTCATATACACACGTCATGTATGTATAGTACGGTGAGGAATGACATCCCCACATGCACAGACGCACAAACACACCCAAGCAGCTGCAACATGGCCAATGTCCCGGACCGGCCGGCACCAATGGAGTTTCCTGGGAATTAACTGCATGTCCAGCTGCCCTCAAATCACACACACACACACACGCACTTGACAGGATGCAGCAAAAATGTGCTGCGAATACCAATATGACCTCAGATCTGATAAACCTACAAAATCCTGAAATTAAGGCATTTAAAGCAGTCATATCATAGATGCAGTTGGCACCAGTCTCCAAATGTCCTCTGGGTGTGTCGGCCAACAAGCAGTCCTGAGAGCCATCCGGGGAATGTGAGTCTATGAGGCAGGACAGCATCCAGAAGCAGTGTGTTTGTGCAGCAGGGACATGCGGCTGAAAGTCCGCGAGCAGGATCCGCACTGGTACTTCTTCACTTCTGAGTGGGTCTGCAGGTGGGCGCGCAGGTTGGAGCGATCAGCAAAGGCCCGGTTACAGTGTTGACAAGCGAAGGGGCGCTCGCCTGGTTAAAGAGAAACACTGTCAGCACCAGCAAAACACTTAAGACATTCACAGGCCAAAAAGGTTTGTCCTCTGGTCATTGTTTTTCAAATGATCTACAGATAACAGACAAAAGAGCAGGAACACCCTAACTTACTTAATGCAGATTGCCCTTTTCATGCAGATCAAGTGTGGGGCTGATTAGATTGTGCCCCGCTAAGCAATAACATTTGCTCACACATCAGGAGACGTCAATGAATATCAATGATCACGGGGTGCAGACAGCTGTTACATTAACAAGCAAACAAGACTTGCAAATCAATAGTTTCACACAACTGTATGGAAAGTTGAGATTTACCTGTGTGGGTGCGAATGTGGCCCCTGAGCAGCCATGGTCTGGAGAAGGCCTTGCCGCAGGTGGGGCACACACAAGGCAGAGTGTGTGAGCGAATGTGCATCTTGAGGGCTCCCAGGCTGGTGTACTCCTTAGGGCAGTGTTTGCAGTGGAAGGCCGGGCGAGCCGAGACCTCTGTGGGCAGGGAGGGAGTCTGCTGCAGGGGGACACTGGAGGGGATCTGGTGGTGGGCCATCTGATGGTGGGACAGCGCTGAGAGGCTGCTGTACGTCTTACTGCAGTGCAGACAGTGGTAGACGTGCTGGATGGCATCCGGGCTGGGGGGATCTGAGGTACGTCCGCCATCCTCCTCTTCATCGCCACTGCTGCTTGAAGGAGAGCTGCTGAGGTCAAGGGGGCCCAGGGGGGACGGAGGCAGAGATACCGGGGTGATCGGGGAGGGCAGCGTGGGAATGGTGTCAATGCTGCTGAAGAACAGGGGGGTTGGATGGCAGGTCAGCGCAGAGCTGTTGTTCTGTGTTGGAAGTTCAGCCCGTGGAAAGCTTTCTGGGACAAAAGCTGGCAACACAGAGAAAATTAAGTCAGGTGGGTTTTCACCTGATAACCTAATAAAGCTCTAAACTTGTTTGCATTCTTGGTTTCATCTTACCGCCTGCATTCATCACAGGCTTTACCATAACACAACAAACTTTCCAGGTGACTAATAACACATCAGAATGTTTTGCCCCCTAGAAGCTGCATGTAAGTATCTTCTACCCCGCACATGGCTCTGTTTTGCGTCTGCAGGTAACTTGTGAAGAACTCATGACTGAGATGTATGAATTCAGTGAGAGGAAAAAAAAACTTACCGGTTTGGCTCTCCAGCTGGCTCTCCCTGTAGTATGGCTTCTTGTTGGAGAAATACTTCTTGACAAGAAATGAACGAGGCATGTTGAGCTCTGACTTCTCTGGCAAAGAAAAATAAAAAATAAAATAAAAATCGAATTATTTCCACGTCACGGGTGCGCACCGATCCAAGCGCTCCTGAGATGATGCAGTCGGACGGAGAGGAAAGGGGTGGGAAGAAAAACACGCTTGAAGAGATCAGCAAGACCTCTACCAACGTTGAATGTATCTTGTTCAGGACTTGCCTCCTCCTCATATAGTAGCCAGCGAGGAGAACCAGCGGGGTGGGTGGGCACATCTCCGCCTAAAGACACACCCCGTGCGTCAAGGCGCCACCACCCCCAATCAGCACAGGTGTCCAATGTGCCAAAAAGGTGCTGCAAGGCGCAAATCTAATCATTTCGTGACTCCAATGGCCCACTCTTACGCTATAGAAATACCCTATTGTTATTAAACATGAAGGGTTGATTGGTCAGCTCAGTGTTAAATGTTTCCGAACCTGAGTCGAAATGTGCATATCAATGCCTTTCATTGTGAGGAGACTGGGAGTGCGGATACGAACACATCATACAGAGTCAAATCACAGGGTTCTAAGAGCAACTTTCTTCACTTTTTTTTTTACTGTCAGCTCCTTTACAAAGATGTGTCACAAAAAGCTTGAGCGTCCTCTGTTGGCCCACACTATAAGGTAACAGCTGGTGGTGGCAATATGAACAATGTCTGTCCACAAATCTCCATAATAATAATAATAATGACGTAGAAGTAAAGAAAATAGTGACCAAAAGTTGGATATGTGAAGAAAAACAACGGCTTTTTATCTTCAGGGTGGAATATTTCCCTATTATCATCTCAGCTGTTGGTTTCAGATAAGTTAGACTACAATTAAACAATTTCCAAGAACATCATCTGAACTCTTACTTAATCACAATTAATCTCACATCAAGTATTTGTGCACAGTTGCTGTTTTTTTCTTTCGTTTTTGTTTTTAAAATCAATTGACTGCGAAATAAGTGACATTCTACGATGCGCCTGATGTTTCACGGGACTGCTGCTCGGGGCTTTTACGCACCCCGATGAGAAGAAGCCGTTTTTGAGTAGGTAGTCTGCTGGAGACAAACGCTCTGTTCTTTTTTTTGCTCTCTTCAATACAAACTAGTTCGTCCTGGCAACATTTCTTCTGCTCGCTCCGCAGGGAAGAAGTCCTTTTAGATAAAAGAGGCACTGTTCTCCAGATTGCTCTCAGCGGGACATGAGGTAAAATTAACCGAGCTGACGGGAACAATATGATGGGAGCCCAGACCTGCTAATTCATTGGCCTTTAGGGGGCATGAAATGCAACTTAGGGCCAGAAAATGTTTCATGTTTCAGTGTTTCATCCTTTTTCCTTAAATCTTGTGAGCAACTGTGTAAAAAAAAATCAAATATTTGCCCTAAGATGTACCAGGATACTTTAAAGAAACGGACTGGAACAGGACTTTCCATCTCTTGTGCATCTTGTCCTTTATTATTACTGTTTTATCTTATTTAATAGTGCTTCATCTGACTTTACTGTAGCTAAAGTTTTCAGTAAAGCATGTGTGCATAAATTCCAAACATGAACTCTGTCTGTGCATCTGCTGGTGCGCGAACCAAAAGCGCAAGAGCCTGATAATCAGCCCATTACGCATGAATGCCACGGTCTTCAGCGGTCCTGTTTAGCATTGCAAAGAGAGTCAGACACTCCTTTTTGGCAGCCCTGGTGGGTGATGGGGATATATGCACCTGTCTAAAGGCGCCATTGTCACGGCATGCTCAAAAGTTCACACATCGTTAGAGCGCTTGTTGACGCCGACGCCACGTAGACTGGAGGTCAGAGGGGGGCAGGACAGCAGTAAAAACAAAAAGCAAATAGCAAAGACACACGTGAAAGTAATCTGAGTTGTGGCTCTGCTGCTGAGGATGATCCTAACGGGGACAAACGGTGTTGGAGAGCTTAAATTAAGAGTTACAGAGCAGATCTACAGTTGACTTTAGGGTTGTGTTAGTATGATGATCTGTGTGTGGGGGTCTATTTCTCCCACACAATCTGCAGAAGCTATGACAGCATAAAGCATCCACCTGACCTCTTTCTCTCATGCACACACACACACAAACACAGTGTAGGAGGTTGTAAGAGTGAAAACAGCTGATTACACACTGCTGAATTTGCTCTTCTAAGCAGAGCAGTTTGAAAGGGTGGCTGCAGCAGACAGTTTGTGTTTCAACTGGGTTGGGGTGAGGACACGAAGACATGAAAACTTTTCTGCTCCTAACAGATGTTCTCTCCTCTTTGGCCTCAGGGATAAATGTGTTCCCACAGAGGCTCACACACTGTCTGCTGAAGCAAATCACAGATACTGTGGAAGACTGATCCTTCAGTCTGATTTCAGGAAGGTTTTAATTCCTGATTCTCACAAATACAGCAACACAGTGGAGGTCAGACAAGCCTCCATCAACATGAGCATGGTTTGTTGAAGCCTTTAAAGGGGGCACATTATGAGAGACAACCAGACGGTGGGAAATAGTTGGTTGGTTGGTTGGTTGCATGAAAAATATTTAGTGGCAATTTTCTTTCTTTTCTTTTTTTAAGCTGGAAAACACATCTTGTCTAATATAAATCTTGTTATATTAAATTGTATAAAGTTAATTTAAACAATTTTAAAAAAGCTAAAATAAAAACTATTTTTTGATGAGAAACATGTACATATAAATAAATATATTAAAGATCATTTATAGAATCATACAGAGGAGCAGCTTTTGGGTGTCACTCAGTAAGAAAGTTGCCATAATGGGGTTAATATGCTGTAAAACAATGTTGTCACTCTGGTTGTACAGTGTTTGGTTTGTACAAATCTGGACCATTGCCATGCAGTAAAAATGGATGTGCAGAAGCTTCAGCCCTGAACTTTTCTTCCAGAAGCTGGAGGAGACACTGGCTTGTAGTCTTCTGACCCTGTTGCTCTGAGACGGGAAACATTGTCTTTCCCAGAAAACACTTTTACTAGGCATCGTTTCTCAGCTGGTGTGTGGCTAACATGGCTCTTCCACAAACAAAAAATAATGCTTTAAAGAAAATAGTTTTGCACATAGTCAGTGGAATAGATAGCGTTTTTGTCCTACGTTGCTTTGACGTTTTAATGCAACGTGTGTGCTGCATACTACAGATGGCAGCTCATCAAAAAGACATTCATATTAGAATCCTGGAGGAAATAAGAAGAAAGCCCTGCAAGTTTCTGTGACATGAAAATACAAAATATGAACGTAAAGGAGAACTTAGGTGATTTCACACATCAAGTTGCACAAGGCGTTTTGTAGCTGTAGTGAGAACTGCACAGAATCTGATAAACTGCCTCAAGTGATATAACGTGAATCAGCATCAGGTGGGAGTGAAGAGTTGGAAACTATAAAATCTGTGGGAGTGGAGTTAGAAAGTTCCCAGACCTCATTTTTGTTTGAGGCTGAAGGCTTCAGGCTACGTCAGACAGTATAAGCTAAGCAGAGCCCACTCAGAAAACACACTGTGGAAAGAGCTGGGGTGAAACAATTCATTGTAAATCTAAAGAAATATTTTTTTGGAATGGTAATAAGCAGGTTCTGTTGTTTTGTTTTTGTGGTTTGTCACATTTTCCCTCACTGTTGGTTCATTTTGAACTGCAATATAAAATCCTGCACCTATATGGAGACGGCACAACAATGGCTAGAAATACAAAGAACCCCCCAAAAGTGCAACAACATCACCAATGATCAATTTTCATAAAACATTACAAAAAAAGTTTCTGTACAAGTGCCCACAGGTGATATCAATACAGGTTGGTCCACATTTAACCACGTTTCCGTACTTGTCCACGATCTGTAAACACAATTGCGATTAAGCCAGATTAGAATCGTCGTCTCTCATTGTGCAGAGCAGCATAATATTTTTTACTTTTTACATAAAAAGTGATGTGGTTACTGTGAACAACAGATTTTTCAGGTCCATATGGTTTTTACTAGATTGAAACCATAACATTTTCCTGCTTTCATACAGAAACATTTTCTTCTACACTCATTTCTTGCTTTTATTCCTCTCTTGGAAGATAATTCAATAAAACTGACTATTTGAGTTTTCATTCTTTAGCGTGGCTTGACATGTGAATATATTTTAGATCCTGCCTGAGCTGGAGAATGGTGGCTGTACTGTCCTTCATCATGTGTTTGAATAGAGGCCAGCTCCCAAGCACCTACGACGATTATTCATGTTTGTGCTCAAGTAGCCGTATTTTACATTTTAAAACCCCTTGATAGCCGCTGATCAACCAAGTGTATTGTTACTATTCACTCCATTCAGACTACAGGTAACGGCCACTTGAGTGCATTTACATTTGCTCTTTATGCAGGTTTTCCCCCCCACTGACTGAAGAAGAAGAAGCAGCGCAACAATAGCACAAAGAAATCAAGCGATCTTTAAAGAATACAGCAGTTTGAGAGACTCTTTGGTTTGAAAATGTCCTCTTTTCCATTTAAGGTGTCAGTACATTCGTAAATTTGTGATGATCCGATGCATTGTTATATCTTCAACTCACCCACAAAACAAGCAGGGTGAGAATTGTCGGACAGCTTCTAGTGCTTCACACTTTTTCACTTCATGACATGTTTGTTTGTTTGTTTGTTTGTTTGTACATATGGACTAGAGCACATGAGTGCAGCCCTACAGAGGTCCTTAAGCCCACCAGGAGGGAGATAAGATTATCCCAGAGGAATGCAGAGCTGGTCATATGAACACAAACTCCCACACACATGCTCTGTAGTTTGTACATTCTTAGCTCAGGTCGCTTGATCAATCACACACGTTGTGGTCAAGATCACTTTGATGAGGAGAGAGGCAGCCAACATGTCATGCCGACTGTGAAGCATATGTAGCTCAAACAACCAACCGGATATGTTCCAGTGGCACATAATAATCAGTGCAGGCAATTAGTGTTTTAACAGCGGTTCCCAAACTGGTAAGACAAACATCGATGAGGAAGTTGGAGGCTGTATGTGTATAACAAGAGCAAAATGCGCTCTGAAAGTAATTTTGAATCCGTTAAATCAACTGAAGCCAGGTTAAACTTGTTGTTTTATCATTCTATGGACATGATGGTTTTGCTATTTTGTCATTATTAAACAGATTAATTGATTGTCAAACCGTAAAAAAGGCTCAAACTGAAGACAACTTCACCTCCAT